ATCCACCCTGGCTCTGTGGCCCACCTTGGCCCTGATCTGAACATTGTCATAGTCTCATTTCTCTACAAGTTATCATGTAGGACCCAGGAAATTCCCTCCACCACTCACTTTCCTAACTTTGAAGATTCACTCAAGGACCAGAGCTTCCTCAGGAAGCTCTCACAACTGCACAGAAGCCAGGATTGGCATGTTAGCCTCCCTCAGCAACTTGAACAGAATTTTAGTGTCACGGTTGGGTGAGTTCTGACAAATGCATGCTCCCAAGTGTAAAAACCTACACTTTTTAAAGATATATAGTGTTTCTAGCAACCCAGAAAGTTTGCCTCTCTACACCAAAGCAATTACTCTTTAATTTTTTTATTCCATAAGAAATCTTCATTCTTTTGGAGGGGTGGGGGCAGGAGTGGGAGTGTGGGAAGAGGTGGCCTTTTGCTGAACATTGTTCCTAAGCTATTGTTTCTCACCCAAGGCCTGTGCTCTGCTAAATGGGGTGGGGGGGTAACAAAAACAGAAAACAAAGAAATAACTTCCTCTGTTTCTCAGCTAAAACTTCCTTTTCCCTGGATGGTGGAGGCCAAGCTCTAGGTTTCAGAATAGGCAAAGAAGTATTAACACATTGGTAACTCAGTGCTCCACTATCTCTATTATTGGTACTTTTTCTAGACTCCTAATTGTGAGCATTCCTTAAGCATCTGTCCTCTATCTTCTGTTTCTACTTATAAAGCTCTTCTCTTTGTGGCTCTATTAATAAATCCACAGACTGAATTATAAGAGTCTGGACTAGGCCTTGAGGTAGTGATAACGTTTATATAGTACTCAGTCCCTCAAGGAACTTACATAGGTTTTGGGGAAAGAGCAGCATTCCGGAAGCTCATTTATTCCATGCTACATCAGATCTTCCTCCTGAGTCTCTTTTTTATTTTTGAAAGGTTTTATTAGCACATGTATATTAGACATAATAACTATCTTCATTGTAACATTTTCATACATGTATGAAATGTACTTTAATCATGTTCCCCCCTCCCATTAGCCGCTTTTGCTCTCCCCAGTCTTACCGATCTCCTTCCTCTTCTCAAGTAGTAGGGATCTTTTTCTTGGTGATACAACTAACAACAACCCACTGACAGCTCTAGAACCTGCAAGCTGCCTTTCTCCTGTTCTTCCTCCTCTGTTCCTTTTGCCAAATCCTCCACACCCAGAACCAACCACCACATCTAACTGCTGTAGATGTCCTTCTCAAATGTATTCTTCCTCTCTGCCTTCATTGCATGAGCCTGGCTCATGATCCTCTCAGCTATCCTCTGAACCCTGACCTGCTGGCCACTGCAACATCTCTCACATGCCAATCTGACTCAGCCATTTCTCTCAGTCCCTAGAACTTTAGGAGAACGTCCACAGTTATCAACATTCCCAACCACCTAACCCTGCCCATGTGCACCATTAGCTCCTGTTATCCTTCTGAGGCAAGGGAAATTAATGGAACATGAGAAGGGAAAGGAGCTTCTTACCCTGGGATCTGTTTGCTATTCCTGCTGACGGATTCAAAACACTTCAATGCAAATGATAAAGACAAAATTGCCTACAGAGCGATGCATGTTTTCTTAAAGACATCTCAAATAAGGATGTTATAAACAACAAATGACCTATTCTTTTTTAAATTAAAAATGTTTATTTGTGTATATACCTGTATGCACACTTGTGCATCCAACACTACTTGCATGCATGTGGTGGTCAGAGAACAACGTTCAAGAGTCAATTCTTGTCTTCTGTCATGTGGATTCAGGGGACTGAACTCAAATCATAGGCCTTGGTACCAAGTACCTTTATTCACTAAGCCATCTTGCCAGCCCCAGTGAACTATCTTACATAGGACAGAATGTTTGTAGCCTTGAGTCTTACCATAGTGATACACCTCTCTTACCCTTAAACCTAAGATTTTATTTTTATTTATGTGTGAGAGTGTGTGCATATGCATTCGGGTGCCTGAGCCCAGAAGAGGGTGTCAGATCCCCTATAGCTAGAGTTACAGGTATTTGTGAGCTTCCTGACATGGGTGTTGGGATCTGAATTCTGGTTCTCTGTGAGCTCTTAACCACTGAACCATCTCTCCAGTTCCCTCCCTAAAATTAAACAGTGTATCTCATAAAACCACAATTTTATTTACTAAAGAAAATTCTTTGAGAAAAACAAACCAGATATTTTTTATTTAAATTATTTGTTCTGTATATGAATGTTTTGCCTATATGTATATAAGTACACCTGTGAATGCAGTTCCCTCAGAGGCCAGAAGAAGGCATCAGAGTGCCTGGAACTGGAGTTATGGACAGTTGTTAGCTGCCATGTGGGTGCTGGGAACCAAACTTGGGTCCTCTGCAAGAGCAACCAGTGCTCTTAACTGCTGAGCCATCTCTCCAGCATCAACCTTTAAACTTTACTTGAATTTTAAAGTTTTACTTAATACTTAAACCTTGTAAATGACATCCTTTGAAGAGTGTAAGTTTGAAAGCCTCAAAATATATAACCATTCAAAAGACACCCATGTGTGACTCTCTGTGGAGAAGCCCATGTCTATGACTTGAGACTGTGACTGCTCCCTTCCTATACAACTTTGTCTAAATATTTATTAAATTCACCAACTTTAGTTCATCTTGAAATTCTCTGCAGCGTAGTCAAGAGTCTGGCCTTACCTGAGTGGAGGTCCCTGAAGGGAAAGGGAACAACTCAAGCTGTTGGTGACTCTGTTAGTCTATGTGTCCCTGTTGCAGTTGACACTTCTATCCCAGCAATGCTCTTTGCTGTGGTTCTTCTGCAGGCTGCCATGCTGGTCTGCATCACTGACCCCTTCTGCCTCCAGATCCTCCCACCCCAACCCTGACACACCCACGAATACACTGGTATGTTGGTTTTGTTATATTGGCTATTTCTATGGTTACCTGTGCCCTCTCTTACTATGCTAACCCCCTGCTCCTCCCACCAGCCTGAGAGCTCTGTGAAGGTCACAGTCTTCATCTCTGTGCACAGAACTGAGTTTGATCACTGGTGTGCCAGGAGCTGTCCCAAGGCCCTTTCTTTCTTTCTTTCTTTCTTTCTTTCTTTCTTTCTTTCTTTCTTTCTTTCTTTCCTTCTTTTTAAATATTTTATTATTTTCATTTTATGTGTATGTGTGTATTGCCTACATGTAAGTAAATGCACCCCTGTTGTACAATGTCTGCAGAGAACAGAAGGGGCTGTTGGATCCCCTGGAACTGAAGTTATGGACAGTTGTTAGCTGGCATGTGGGTGCTGGGATTTGAACCTGAGTCTTCTGCAAGAACAGTCAGTGTTCTTAACTGCTGAGCCATCTCTCCAGCCCCTGAATATATACACATATATATTCTCGGTATGTAGACCAGGCTGGCCTTGAACTCACTAAGGCCTTTTCACACATTAGTTCAAGACTCGTGACACCATACGAAAAAGATGTTACTGTGGTGTCTATTTCACCGTAAGGGCAGTGAACAATTAAGAAATGTGTCAAAACACACCTGCTGAAAGTAGCAGAGCTGAGGTTTTGAACTCAAGAATCAGGCTCCAAGTGTTGTTCTTAATTGCTAGGCTCATCTATCTGCCCTTCTATTTACATATGTTTGTAGAATGAACAACATCCATTTTTACCTCCTCATTTCAGTATGTTTGTAACTAAAGCCATCAACTCTTCCAGCAGCTCCCCTTCTCCACAACTGCTGTCCACAGCTCCTCCAGGACCCAGAAGTCTGGAGTCTTCAACTTTCATCCTTCTCTTCTACATCTAGCTGCTGTGTTTAACATCTATCAGATTCTCTCCTTCCTCTCCATTCGCTCTTGCTGTTGTCTGGACATCAGTTTCCTTCAGGTATCTCTGACTTCACTGCCTCCCTCCATTGGAACCTCAGATTTATAGATATTTTTATGTAACTTAATGGCAACACAATTGTTTGCATCCTTAAGGTAAGGAACTGAACCAGAGAGTGCAGGTCAAATGGATTTATTTAATGCTGAGGACTCTGTAAGCTCCAAAGAAACTAGACTTTGGGCAAAGTCACTTAACCTCCCAGACTCAGACTCCTCATTCATAAATGGCAGATAATAAGTAGCAGCAAGTAGCTCATTGTGAAACAGTGAGATAACTTAGATCCCTGCCCAACACCCAGTGCTCCGTATATCAGCAAGAAAAGTCCACAGTCCTTGTCCACGAAAGCGACACTGCCATCTAACACTCAAGTTCACTATTTGTTCTGGACAAAACACCATCTGGAAGGTTTTGAATCATAGCTGAGAGAAAGTTGCCATGCCTTGCCCATCTGTACCCTTCAAAGACACTCTATGCTGGGAAATACTACATGGCGTATGAACAAAATTATCTGAGCACCCATTTTCAGAATGAACTGCAAAAGAAAATACACCCTATTTTGGTGGAAAGTGCCCAGAATCTGTGCTGTCTGAATTAAAGACTGAGATTGAAGCCTTTCTGAATTTAGTCACCCATGTTATGGGAACCATAAGATCATCACCAAAAGAGTATATATATA